AAATTTTAGGAATGATTTCTCTAGCTCTGTGAGGTATGTTGGTGGTAGTCTGATAGGGATTGTGCTAAATCTGTACAGCAATTTTCGGAGTATAGGCCATTTTTTTCTGATTCATAAACAAAACAAAATACAAAGAAGTTACATGTGGAGGCTCTGACCTACATAGGTCACGTAGGCAACGCCTCAGTCAACAGCCGGAGCCTTTCCGCTATCAAGTTTCCTCATGATTCTCCTGACCATCTCCCTCTCACCCAAGAGTAACCACCATTTTTGTTGTCACCATGATGGATTGAGGGTTTACTCTGAAACTTCCTAGAACTGAAATGAGTGTCAATGAAATTCAGCATACATAAAATCAAATGAAAGTTAGTCTTTGTAGCCTAGGGTTACAACTCAGTGCTACAGTGTTTCTTTTATATTATATTTGAAGATGTAAGTTCTTTTATGGTTTGCTTCTTTGTTTTCTGGTACCAGAAATCAAACTCAGGACCTTCCACTTGCCAGGCAGGTGCTGTACCCCTAAACTATATCCCCAACTTCTTTTTTTTCTGTTTGTTTTTCCCTAGCATTTTTTCAACAACATCCATGTTAATGTGTACTTCAATGTCTAATTCCTTCTCATTGTTGTATACTGTTCCTATGTCAGTCAGATTTCCATTACTATAAAAAATTACTTCAGACAATCAATTTATAATAAGACAAGCTTTATTTTGTCTCATAGTTTTGGAGGATCCAGCACAGGGTCCATTAGCTCCACGGCTTTGGGCTTGTCCTGAAAGGCCTCCTTGGAGGAAGTGTATGGCAGAGAAAAATATTTACTCATTGCCCAGGAAGCAAAGATGTAGCTAGAAGGATGATAAAGTTCAAAATCGGCTTTGAAATGCCGTAAAAAATGGAAGATCTAAAGCCCTAAACACCACCAAACAGGCTCTACCTCTTACGGTTTCCCCCACTCCCAAAGAATTCCATGCTGCCGACCAGGACATTAAAACATGTGTCCTCTGAAGACACTTAGGGTCCAAATGACAGTAGTTCCATTGTGTGCAGAGAACACAGTTGTGTATTTGCTCTCCTGTTAATGAAATCTGGGCTGTATGTAGTGTTTAGCTATCAAGAGCAATCGTGTTATGAGAAGTTTTATACAAGTCTCTGTATGGGAAAGGAATGGCTGAGTTATAATTTGTTTTAACTTACATGAAACTTGTCAATTTTGCCAAGTGGTCAGCAATTGTAAGAGGTGCAGTTACTCTACGGCCTTACTAATGTTTGGTATTATCAGTTATTTTTTACCTTAGTCATCCTCACAGCATCAAAATAGATTCCACTTGGGTTTTAATGTTTGTTTCTTTAATGCTTGACAATGTACAGGAATTTTTTAATATATCCATCCGAGATCCTTACAGTCTCCTTAAAAAGATGTAGACCATATGTTGCCACAGAGAATCCTTCACAAACATCATTTCCACTAGGCATTTATAGCACGCCATTATGAGACATTATTTATCTTAGAAAATGCAGAAAATGCAAACAAGTATATCATGGTTATAGCAGCCGGAAAGAAGAGTAAGCACACTGAGCAAATGTCCTGTCCCTGAGCTGCACCCTGCCCCTTCAGCTCACGCTTACCATAAATGAAATGCCACCAATAAAGTGGAAAACTTCTCTTACCCAGCCCCAGTCCACTTCCCTCTTTCCACAGTAGAAGCAGTTATGGTGACTTCATGCGTAGCTTTCTGTCTTAGTTACTCTTCTCTCGTTGCTG